ATCTATTTTAATAAAACAATCTCCTCCTGGATACTTTTCTGGGTCTGTTTTTTTTTCAACCGCTAGTTGCCACTAAGGACCAGATGTAACTGATAAAAGCTTTTTTTTATTCTGTCTTTTGCTACTCGAATAAAAAATATTGTTATTAGGCCATGTAAATATCCAGAAATTGAATCTGAAGATGATGTTGAGTTGTTTGTTATATTTTACAAAGTTTGATTTGGAAAGTTGAATAGTGATTCAGTTGAACTCAAAATTGTAACTGTTTGTATGTCTGTATTTTTAGTAGGAGCATGCATTTTTTTTTTTTTCGTCATTTTTTCTTTTGAATTTTAAAGTGGAAAGGATGTATTGGGATTATTCAAAAAATGTTTTATTATAATACAAGCACTAATAGCTTTTTCAGGATAATACCCTGATCTGAATAAGTTTTTTTTTTGTTTCTCTACAGTAATACGTACCTACGTATAAAAAAAATTTCAACTAAAACAAATTAAATAGGCAATCATTTTTTTTTCTTCCATTTTCCTGATTTATGCTTATACTATGCATACTTAGGAAAAAATAACGTAACAAAAATAAACTTGTTAACGATTTTGTCACGCTTACGTAGTATAATAATAGCTTATGTTTTACAGTCGAGGCTAAAGAAAGCTGGTAACAGTAAAATAATCACAGGCGCTGAGACTATATGTAACACTGCCATTAAAATAAAACAAAATCCAAGTGATCATTAGATATTTTGTTGAATCACTATGAAACAACAACTATGACTTTGTATGCCTACAAATTTTGAACATGAGTTACCTTTCGTGTATTTATTAAAATTTACTTGAAACCAATTTCTCTTACACGATAGACTACACTTTTTAAATGTCAACGAGCTTGCATGGATTCAATAATTATTATAACCAATTGGAGATGAAATAATTTATACGTAGCTAAGATAATTTCATCTGCAATACATGTAGTTCACTGTTTTATTTTTCTAGAGATAACATTTAATTATTAACAATCACCATTCGTCATTTCACTTGAAGTGGCAGTAATTGCATCATGTCAGTGATACTTACATTTACCCCTACCAGATATTTTAGCTGACTTAAAAATGCACGTGAGTGATAATGTTTCAAATATGATTACTACAATAGCAGTAAATCAACAAAAAACATAAGAAATTGAAAGGTAAATACATGGGTTATTGCATTTACAGATTCATACATACATATATACATACATTTATCAAGGCCCATGCATTGTACATGTCAGCATATTGTGACAGGAACAGCACTGTTATACTTCTAGTTTGCTACATACATGATCGCTAATATCTAAGACGTGTACATATTGTAGCATGATGTATAAACACTGTTTACGAAATGCACATTTTGTACAGATGTTTTTGGACCCTGGACCGAACACTATCTTCTTGGGCCATTTTTTCTCAACATAATAATTGTCTATGCCCCTGCTATCCCAAAAATGCGGAAAAGGAATTTTCAGTATTATGTACAATGATAGTACATTTCTAATTTGAATAATCACAAATTTGATTTGATTTTCAATACTTACCATCAATGCCAAATAGTTGAAAATTGCACTTTAAAAATATCCATTCTCGTTTGACTTGAAACATCACGCCTAAAATAGCTGTGAAATGAAGTCTGTGATTGGTGGTATAGTAATTGTATAGTGATACTGGTATGTACGAAGATGACCCAGCGTAACAGAAAGTTATCTCGTCTACACACAGGCATGTATCTTTATGCGTACACGTAATATGGGGATGTGTATAAGTGTGGAAATATATTCGTGTAAGGGCTTTTTAGAGGATTTACAATACAAATCGTGTGCACGGTATACAATGTAGTTGCATGTATGGGACCGGCCATCATCTCTTCTTAGTGAATTTGTTATTATTCTTTTATTCTTTTCGTTAGTGCACTTATCGATCTTGTTTTTTTATATGCTAATCAGTGTAGTGCCACTATCAATTATTTTTTAAGCGTTTATATTTAATCGTTCATGTCGTAGTCTAAATAACCGTGAATTTTGCACGTGCGTGTATGCTAGTTTGTCATGAAATGTAGTGTAATCATCAATGAAGAGATTTTTTTTTGCTTTCAAAGATTTCCCCTTGTTCGAAATTGAACTCAGTAAGATAGTGGACTGTATAATTTATATCGCACGCCGGATTTGGGGGAGCGTGAAAAGGATGTAAAAAAACAATAATAAATGCACAACACACTTTTAAACACTTTAGCCGTTTATTATAAAAAAACAATCTCTCTATTTAATTTTACTTTAACAAGTCATAATGCTTGCTTACTTGCAAGATAAAAAATGGAAGAACTAATTTATGAGTCAGACGGAGAAATTACGTGTCAATCGAAAATGTGAATCGTTTTTCGTTACAGAAATCTTACATAAAAACGATAGACGTGAAAATTATAAACACGAGCGCGAAGCGACTTACCGAAAAGGGCGTTTGAGGCTGACTGACGATAACCGCAGCAGCAGCAAGCTGCTGGACAAAGGTAAGTATAAACAGAGTCTATTGGTGTATTAATAGACGCGTGCACGCTTATAATTGGCTCTTATAGGTAAGAGAATATCCTAAAGCGCGAGATTTCAAATCTCATAAACTAAATTTTCTATTTACATCAGTATAATGTTACTGATGTTGCACACCCCTTAAACTATGTATTTTATTTATCAACTTTCATGATGAAAGTATTAATATTAACTGACGTCTGCAAAAATAGATTTTACAAGATTCTACCGAAGAGAATTTTGTAAATAAATTTATTTTTGAATTACAAGTATATGTACACTGTAATGTGAACCTGTTATTTTGTAATTTCTAAATTTTAAGCTTCCTATATTTTTAAAATATGATAAAGTAAATAAAAAAAATTATTTTATTCATTGTTTCGAAACATTTTTATTAAATCAGAAATACATTTTTGAATACATATGGAATGAAAGTAATAAG